TGTATTTGAAGTTGGCATTGTTTGAGGAATAAAAACAAGTTTACGGCCCAATTAATTTCTGATTTGGGGTGAATTACAAGTCTCAGTGAATTGGAGCCATTGTATAGTTATAGTCACTTTGTTTTTTATTTACTCAGTTATGTTCTGTGGGGAGCAACTGGGAGCAACTCGGACTAGACTAAGTTACTGGAATTAAGACTTATTCTATGCATCTGCTCTCCCACAATATGGCGCTGGGAGAGGAGGAAACAGCTTCTACACAGCTGCCTCCAGTTCAACCAATAAACTGTAGGACCTGCTCCTGATTGGAGGAGAGCAGCGTACTCAGCATGTGGGTAGCAGAGTTGGGATTGGTGGAAGAGGACTATAAAGGAGGAGAGAGACAACATGCACCAGGAACATCTATCTGAAGGAACACCTGTGCAGCCCCCGAGAGAGCCGGCCGGCGGTGTGCCGCTCCCCCGCGGAAGTGGGGAAAGTGGCAGGGGGAACTGCCCTTCCACAGAGGTGGGAGGGACGGTAGCCAACCCGGGAAGGACCAGCAGCAAACCCGGGGAGGGCCGAGCAGACAAAAGAACAGCGCAGGGTCCTGTGTCGTTCCTCCGCGAAGACGGGGAGCGACATAATGGTGCCGTGACTCGGATATGAAGCCTAAGCAGGGTCTAGTGTCGTTCCTCCATGAAGAGGGGGAGCAACAATGTTCAAAAAATAATTTTTATTTATTTGAGACATAGAGCCAGAGAGAGGGATATCCAACTATATAAGCCATCACTGCTGCCTCCCAGCATGCACATTATCAGGAAGCTGCAAACCGCATCGGAGCCTAGACTTGAACCAGGTGCTCTGATGTGGGATATGGGTATCCCAACCAGCAGCTTAGCTACTAAGTCAAACACTTGCCCTGATCTTTGTAACTAATTATCGTTAGCCAGGTGGATTGTGTTGTATGCTTAAGAGGATTTAAACTTTGTCTGATGGCTAATTGATTTGCTGTCTAGTTTCATGTTTCATCTGTATTCATATCTTCTTCAGTTAACTACATTTTAATTTTAGTTTTAAAATGTGATATTCATTTCACAAGTTTTTAGGATTTATTCTCATAGATCACATTTTTGAAACTAAGCTTTATAGTTGAAGCAAAGTAGTGTTTACACAGCCTAGTTAACATTACAGATAATTTTTATTCTATATTATTTGGTTATTTCTCTTAGGAGTTTGAATTATCGGAGTTTCAGTTATGAATCATTTTAAAGGGCAGTTTCATTAAATTGTTGACAAATAAATCATGGTTTGTAAAATGCATCAGTAATCTCTATACCTGACTCCTACTGATGGAAGACAGACTTTTATTGAAATTATCTTAGATTTTAGACTTTTAAATATGTAATGGACAGTTATTTTCTTCTTTCAGTGAATATGAACATTAGTATTTCTCTTCATTAGCTGAACATTCAGTGGCCTCTGATCATCATTTTGAACTTTTTATTTATTAAAAAATATTTATTTATTTATTTATTTTGAAAGGGAGAGAGAGATCTTCCATCTGCTGGTTCACTCCCCAAATGGCCACAATGGCTGAGGCTGGGCCAGGTTGAAGCCAGGAGCCAGGAGCTTCATCTGGGTCTCCCATGTGGGTGCAGGGGCCCAAGGACTTGGGTTACCCTCTACTGCTTTTCCAGGTGCATTAGTAAGGAGCTGGATAGGAAGTGGAGCAGCTGAGACTCAAAGTGGCACCCGTGTGGGATGCCGGAGTTGCAGGCCGGTGCTTAACCCATTAGGCCTGCACCCATTCGAACTTTGTAACCATTCTGTTATACTGAAAATGTAGGAAGTATAGATCTGGGTTCAGTATTCATCCACCAATTCAGTTAGATAAGCCTTCCATTTATTAACTTCTTTATCAGATATTGACATTTGTAAGAAGAACAAAGCACAATCATTGCCATCAGAAAAATGTGTGGTATTAAATAAAAGAAACAGGTATAATAAAATATTGGGTGTTAGGTATTTTTTTAAACACCTGAGATATTAGTAGCAAAGAATATGACTTCTTTAAAAAAAAAAAAAGATTAATTTTATTTATTTGAAAGGCAGAGCCACAAAGAGGGAGAGGGCGAGACAGACATCTTCCATCTGCTGTGTCACTCCCCCAATGTCTCCAATGGCCAGAGGTGAAGGCAAAAGCCAAGAGCCTCATCTGGGTCTCCCACATGGGTGTAGGGGACCAAAGATTTAGGCCACTGCTTTCCCAGACACATTAGCAAGGGAGCTAGATAGACACATCAGCAAGCAGAACTGCCAGGAGTCAAACTGGTGGCCATATGGGATGCCGCTATGCCACAATGCCAGCCTCTAGTGGTAAGCATTATAATCAGTGTATGCTTAAAGTTGGTGAGTCTCATGAATATAAATAAAGAAAGAAAGAACATCAGTTGGTGTAGTGCCAAGGAAGATTTGCCTGGTGTGAACTTTTGATTCCACAAGTCAGAGGACTCACTCTTAAAAGAACGCTCCCGCTTCAGATGCCAGTTTCAAGTCCAGGTGTCCTGTACTTCTGGCTGACCATATGTAAATTGGGGATTCCCACAATCCCTTCACTGGTTTGGATAATTTGCTAGAGCGGCTCACAGAAGTTAGGGAGACACTGTACCAGTATTTACCAGTTTATTATGAAGGAGACATAATAAATAGTCAAATAGGAACATAGGGCCAGGTTCCCAATGTTGGAACTTCTGTCCTAATGGAGGTGGGATGTGACTCTCTGGGCACATGGATACATTCCAACAATTTGGACACTCATCAAATCTCAAATCTCATTTTTGTTCAAGAATTTTTATGGAGCTTAATCTTCTGTCATCCTACTCCTTCAGCGGCTTCCTGGGGGCTAGTGAATGCGGTTTGTTAAGTGCCAACTTTCTAGTCACTTGGTCTTTTTAATGAGCATCTCCATTCTGGGGCTATCTAGGTGCTCAATCCTAAGCCATATCATTGGAATGAATTCAGTTGTGTTTAAAGGGGTAAATTATGAATAAGATCCCCTTTAGGCCAAGAAATATCAAGGGTTTTAGGAGTTCAGTGCCAACAACCTGGGACAGGGCTCAAATATACTTCTTATTCCATAGTTATCATGAAAAATATCCGGGGCATAGATGTTGACGTGAGTATTCACTGGTTAAAATTTGCTTGAGGGGCCGACACTGTGGCATAATGGGTAAAGCTGCTGCTTGCAGCACTGGCATCCATATGGGCACTGATTCAAGTCCTGGCTGCTCCACTTTCCATCCCGCTCCCTACTAATGGCCTGGGAAAGCAGTGGAAGATGGCCCAAGTACTTGGGCCCCTGCAACCATATGGGAGACCCAGAAGAAGCTCCTTGTTTTGGATCGGCTCAGCTCCAGCATTTGTGACCATTTTGGAGTGGACTGGCAGATGGAAGATCTTCTCTGTTCCCCCCCACCCCTTTCTCTGCAACTCTGCCTTTCAAATAAATAAATAAATCTTTAAAAAAGTTTACTTGAAGAGCAGATAAATATAATTAGTTCATGTAAGAACATCGGAGAAAATCAGGTTGGAAACAGAATGAGAGGGGAACAGTGTGCCAAGGATCTTTGAAATTAGTCTAAGTCTGAGTATACTCTAATGAATCGTTTGGGTTATGGGAGCAGGGTATGGGAGTTAGTAGGGAAAGACATCGTGGTGCAGTAGGTTGGGTGCCTGCTTGGGATGCCTGCATCCCACATCAGAGTGCTGGTACTTCCATTTCTGACCCAGCTTCCTGCTAGTGCACCCAGGAAGGCAGCAGATGATGACTCAAGTGCTGGGCCTCTGCTACCCACAGGAAAGACCCACATGGATCTCCTGGCTCCTGGCTCCTGGTGCTGGCCTGGCCCAGCCCTGGGATGGAAAATCTCTCTCACTCTCTCTGCCTCCCTCCCTCACTTCCTCCCTGTTCCCTCTGCCTTTCAAGTAGTGAAAAAAAATGAATAAATCAACATTTTTTTAAAAATGGGAATCGTTGTAACATATGGTCAAGTTCTTGGAAATTTGTGATTTTGAACAGGTTACTGCACTGAGGCTCCTTTTTCTTGTCAGTTGAATGGTAATGATACCTACCTTACTGAAATATCATATGTAAAGTGTGATGTATTAAATATTGATATATTTTAGCAAATTTAGTGAGAACAATGGATAGTAACCTAGTCCTAAGACTCAGGCTGTTGTTGAGAAATGGTTGTAATAGGTCAATAGAAAAGGAGGGACAGATAACTAGGAGTATTTAAATGAATACTATTAATATTTTAAACTTATATTGCTTAAAAAATCTTTATACTGTTCTTTATGTTGTTTCATATTCATGCATTCATTTATTATCAAGTTAATAGCTGACAACTGAATTTAATTTTATAGTTTATAGAACATTTTGACATATCTTGTTGAATTCTCAGAACTATTCTATGTGATATTATTTCCATTTTTTAAGCCTCTTAAAGGTTAAATAATTCATTGATGATCATACAACATGTTAATGAAAGAACAGCTTTAAAACTTGAATCGCCATACATCTACTCTAGTGATTTCATCATTATATGATAGTATATGACAAGAACTGATGAGAATAGCAAGGAGCAAATATGCAAAACTATATTAATATTCTTACTATCTTTTTTTAAAGAAATCTTCCTTAATACAAAGAAGTGAGCAAAAAGTAACCAAGATATGGAAAGGAACAGACTGATTTAGAGTTTGTTAGTTATCTATTTTATTTATAAGCCCAGTGATACTTGAATATAATCTCATTTGGTAGATCAAAAAACTTGGTGGCTATAGTTTACTATTTAAAAATATCTGTAGCAGAAATGAAAATAAGCTCTTGCTTTTCTGAATAAATTGTATTAGGCATTTAGACATTTTGGGTGATTGTAAAATATTTTACAATAGAGTTATTTCTTAAATGTTTTTGAATAGTATTAATAATGAAACTTTTTCAAATTTACCATCAGGCTGATGGTGACAGAGTCTACATGGAACTATGCTTCGAGGTGTGCTGGGAAAAACCTTTCGACTTGCTGGCTATACAATTCAGTATGGCTGTATAATTTATTGTACTTTTGAATATGTTGGTGGTGTTTTTATGGTAAGTTTTTGTATACAAGATACTAATTTTAAATATACTTTTTTTTAAAGTGAAGGAAATGTATTTGCTCCTCATTACAGTTCTAGTTATTTTAATGAATAAAGTGAATGTTAAAACATAAGAATCTATTCAGAGAGAATTGGCACTGATACAAAATATAAAAACACTTAAAATATTTTCTATATTATGTTTCTATCAGGGGCACAAAATGTCTTCTTAATAGTCTCTTTATTGGAGGACATTTACTGTTTTCCAGCATATGTTTGAGGTTGTATATAGTTATTAACTCAGTGTTTTACATGTCTGTGAGATACCTGTTAGAAACCCATTATACAAAGGTGGAAAAGGCTTGAAAGCTAATTAACTTGTTCCAGGTTCCCACAGATAGTGAATAACTGACTTGGAATTTCACACAGGTTTATCTTATTTTCAACAGGCCTGTTTGAAACTGCCATATTTAACTCTCATTTAAACACTTGATTCTTCTACTAATGTCAATATTAAAGTAGTAAAGTTAACCTCCCACCCCCTTCCTCCACCATGCCCACCAATGCTTGTTCTTAATTGTGTGATGAGCCTACCATGTATGGCTATTCAAACATTTGTTCATGTAAATGAATGAATAAGTTGATGGACTATCTGGTAAATGGGTTTTTTGTTGTTGTTATTGTTATTGCTGTTACTTTTTTAGGCTTATTCTAACAGATTGACAGTTATACAACCTCACACTGAGCTGGAGTAGTACAAATGAATATATTTAACTGAGGCTGCCCTTCTTGATTTTTGAAAGTTACATTATTACTTCCAGAGATAGCAAACACAGACATTCATTGTATGAGTATTCTTTCTTATTTGCCAGAGTTTTGGGAAAAAAGCTTTATTTACAATAAGTAGAGAAAATGGACACTGTTGTACTTAGATTTTAAAGTGTCAGTGATCATTCTAGTTTTGAGATATATATGCATATATATGGAAATTAATTAATTATTGAGACATACAGATATGGGAATCTTTAAAGTATGTCTCATTGTGGCAGCATTTCGCAGTATGAAATATAAGTTGCAGTCTTATCAAATGAGTAAATTGTTCTCTTGTAAGAGGAAGAAGGGCAACAGCTCATTGAGAATAGTATAATGCCACTTAATAAATTACCATCATATGCGCCAGATGATATTTGATGATAGCAAGAAAGTGCATCATTCATCAACAACTCTATGTTATCAACTTTATGCTGAGCATTGTTCTTGGGCTTGTATATACAGCTGGAAAGGTCCTTGCACTCATGGACCTTATATTCTACAGGTGACCAAAACTTGGAAACATAGATAATGGTATTTTATTCATGAAACATAATGTCATATCAGTAAAACATTTATAATATCTTTGTCCATGTTTCTAGACTTGGTGACTACTCTGGAGTTGAACTTAATTGCCAACTTACTGTGAATCATCCTCCAGGCCTGAATAGGACATTTGCTTTATTTTCTTTCTTTTAAGGCTACTCAGATGTTTTCTCTTATATTTTAAAGAGGTTTTTAAAATCAAGTTACAAAATTACCTCTCTTTTCAGTGTTTTGGACCATCAATGGAACCTACAATTCAAAATTCAGATATTGTCTTTGCAGAAAATCTTAGTCGACATTTTTATGGTATCCACAGGTAAATTTCTGTCATGGATGTAATTAAATTTATAGTGAAAATACACAAATAAATTGTGTCTCTTTAAAAACTCTTTTATTATAACCAAATGCATAATCAGCTAAATAAAATTTGGAGCCAAATATTTTCTCTCAGTTTGGGAAATTTTAGTAATTTCTCTAAACATACACAGTCCCTTAAATCATTTTATCTCTTGTATTATTCAGAACACTTCACAGTCCCTTTTGTAATATGCATGTAATTCTACTTTACTTTTTTATTTTTTATCCTAGGATGTTTGGAGTCAAGAATGAGGGACTGCATTACATATCCAAATCAGTGTTTTGTTTTGAAAAAAAATTTAATTGTTATTTTATTAATAACTGTCTTATTTATTCCCACTATAAAACCTGTGATGACCACTTCATGATTTTTAGATTACAACATTGTATATATTTTAGACAGGATTTTAATCTGTTATGATTCTCCTTATTAATTACATTAATTAACTACTTGGCAAATATTGCCAATAAGCCTTTTAAAACCCTGTTCCAAATGGTGGTTCCAATCCTTGTGATACTGTTTAATTAACTCTATGAGCATAATTTCTTACAAATAGATGTCAAGTATTAGTAATTTAATGTACTCTCTGATTTCCAAACATTTTGAATCTTGTTTTAAAAAAAAATCCTGAAAAAAAAAATCACCAGCTTTTATCTCAGTAAGCTGCAATTTTTCCTCCCTCAAGGATAAGTACATTTATATCAAGATAAGTAGGTTCAGCTATTCCTTTTTCATTGTTCAAAGCCTATTTTACATTATTGAAAAATTGTTGAGATCAGTGTTATAGCTTAATGGGTTAAGCTGCAGCATGCAATACTGTCATCCCATATGACTACCGGTTCAAACCCAGTTGCTCCACTTATGGTCCAGCTCGCTGCTAATGCACCTGGGAAAGAAACAAAAGATGGCCCAGGTGATTTCTTCCCTGGCCTTATGGATGATTTTTTTTTACATCATAAGTGAGCCAGACAGGATGGAGAATTGTAAATCAAGTCCTTTGTTGAATTTATCTCCATCTTGTTGATTGACAGTTTGGTCCCCAAGATTGTACTTAAAAACCGGAATACTGTGTGGCCATTTGGGTTTTCCTCTCTTGGAAGCCCCCTTCCATGCCACTCCAGCTGGAGGTCTTTGACTGTAATACATCTATGAAAATCTCAGACAAACAAAAAAACAACCTGTATCGTCTAGCTTAATACCTAGGTAATTCTTTTTCAGATCTTTTACCTGTAATCATTTCAAGACACCTAAGTGTAGATATGGGGTTAAGATAAAACTTACACAATAGGCTGTGTTCTGACTTCCTTTTCTTTTTAACTTATATCAAAATAACCTAGTACAGCCTTATGTTGACTAACTCAGCCTCACTGGGGCCTGAAGACAAGATGCTGTGTTCTGTGCCAATGACATGATTTTATTCCTGGAATCAGTCCTTGAGCATCATTAAAAAGGAGCCCAATTTTTTGCTGAGTAGTTTTTGAATCAACATTTCACTATTGTCTTTTTTATTCTTTATACTCTTTTCATTCATGTGAATAATATGAATAATTACATTCAGTAAATTAATTAAGATGCTTTGAAGGGGATCAGCACTGTGGCGTGGCAGGTAAAGCTTCTGCCTGCAACACTGGCATCCCATATGGTCACCTGTTTGTGACCCAGCTGCTCCACTTTTGATCCAGCTCCCTGGTAATGGCCTGCGAAAAGCAGTGGAAGATGGCTCAAGTATTTGAGTTCCTGCCACCCACATGGGAGACCCAGATATAACTTCTGGCTCCTGGCTTTGGCCTGGCTCAGCTCTGGCCCTTGTGGTCATTTGAGGAGTGAATCAGTGGATGGAAGACTTTCTCTCTCTCTCTCTCTCTCTCTCTCTCTTTTTCTCTCTCTGTCTCTCCTTCTCTCTTTGTAACTCTGAATTTCACAGTAACTAAATCTGAAAAAAAAAAAAAAGTAAAAGAGGTAACCCCTAAAAATATTTTTTTAAAAAAGATGCTTTGAATTCTTTTAATACTCTATTCATCCAGGGGTTCCAGTAGGTTGCAGGACAACTAAACTCTGACATTTATATGAAACATACAAAAGTAACTCTTGGAACCAAAGTAGCCAGTTAGTAACTTCTACTTTAAAAAATATTATTTTGCTCTTTGTCTTATTTGCAGTGCAGAACTCTAAGATTTTGGGGCAATCTCTGACCCCCGTTTCTAGAGGTAGACAAGCCTCCCATTTAGGCAAGAATAAAAGCCTGCATGTGTGGTATTTAAAACATCTGAATCTTTTCAGTCAAGTGCACAGAACTTAAGACAATCATGGTCTCTTATTACAACAAATAGTTAATAAGCACCCAATTTTAAGATGTGTACATTACAGATAATAAGAGAAATGAGCCACTGATACTGATTTTTAAAAGCTTACCATCTCTCACACATCCAAATGGCCTTTGGCAGAATAAAGGTTCCATACTCTTGGTCTAGACATGTATTTTGATCTAAGTTCTATGAATGTATCTTGTTAGACAACCAGAGGTATATATATAGTTTATATTAACATTGCTGGTGCAAATACCTGGGTCCCTGCCACCCATGGGGGAGACCCAGATGAACCTCCTGGCTCCTGGCTTTGGCCTGCCCCAGCCCTGGCCATTGTGGCTATCAGTGGAGTGAACCAGTAAGTACAAGATCTCTCTCTCTCTCTCTGTCTCTGTCTCTGTCTCTGTCTCTACCTCTCTCTCTCTCTGTAACTCTTACTTCCAAATGAATAAGTAAATCTTTTTAAAAAATTATTACTCTGATTACTGTTTTTTGTATTTCCTGTAAAAATTCTGATGAAGGTATACTTTTTATTACCTTCTATAAGAATCCTTCTTAGGAATTCCCCTTTGATTTAGACGTTAGGAAAAATTTTCTTACCTCCCAAACTAAATACAATTTTTCTTTATTTTATGATTTTCACAAATTAAGTTCTCTCTCAAAAAGTTTAGAATCCATTTTAACACAGATCCCAATAGTTAAGTTACAGTTTAATCAGGTATTCCTTTTTATTTTTATTGGCTTTTGATATTATTTTGACATATACATCTTTTATTATAAATAGCATGAAATTGTTTCTGGAATTACATGCAGTTAATAGATAAATATGTTAAATACTTTCAAATATGTGATTTATGCAGTTTTAAGCATTTTATTTGCTTCTTTCAATTTTCTCTTCAAATGTAAGTCCTTTTGACTATACTATGAATTATAGGGGTTATATAACTTGTACTATTGTTCCATTCTTTAGGCTTTAGGAAATAATAGATATTGTTTCTACCTCTTTATTGTACATTAGAGTTGATCAGTGCTATGTGAAATTTGTTTTTAAAAATCTTCTTGTTAAAGATTTATTTATTTATTAGAAAGGCAGAGTTAAAGAGAGCCAGAAAGGAAGAGAGATCTTCCTTTTATGGATTCAGTCCCCCAGTGGTTGCAACAGCTAGGTCTGTGCCACGTGGCAGGGGCCCACGTACTTGGGTCTTAATCTGCTGCCTTCCCAGATGCATCAGCAGGAAACTGGACCTGAAGTGGAGGAGGTGGGACTTGAACCAGCCCTCCAATACTGGATGATGGCATTGCAAGAAGTGGCTTAACCCACTGTGCCACAGTGTCGGCCCCACGCAGAAAAAATTTATTTAGTTCATTTGTGGTATTATATGTAATTGTTTTTCCATAATTTTGGTGCTAAAACTTTGCACAGAGAAATAATATATAGTTAATATAATACAAATAAATAATTTTGTGGAATTTTCAGAAAGCATAAAACCTTCTAAGAGTTATCAGAAATTTTAGATAGCTCTCTTTATTACTCTAATTGTTGGACTTTGACCCACAAAAGTCCATCAGAAAAGTTTTCAAAGCTAGAAATTGTATAGGAGGGTCAGTACATGAGAAGATAAAGGATGTGGCTTTTTTGTCTTACAAAAGAATTAAAGCAGTGTCATGCATGTGTTTATGCTTAATTAATAACACTTGACATTTCTTTGACTTTTTCCCCCTCAGAGGTGACATTGTGATTGTAAAAAGCCCAAGTGACCCAAGCTCAAATATTTGTAAAAGAGTGATTGGTTTGGAAGGAGACAAAATCCTCACCACTAGTCCATCAGATTTCTTTAAAAGCCATAGTTACGTAAGTAACATTTCAAGATGTTATTCATTGGTTTCATAGTTAATTAACATTAACTGAAAATACTGACAAAAGAAAATAACTTTTATTCATATTTTAAATCTAAGAAAAAATGTTGCAGCAATAGAATTTAAGTGTGATTATATGAAGAACAATTTGACTATTATATGAACATTTCCTTTTAAAACCTATATAGACCATCTCAGTAATAACTGTTACAGGCAAGAGTCATTAGTTGTTGCTACAATACTGAATACAAATTTGAGGAGAAATAGATATTTTCATAGTCTCAGAGAATTTCTCCTAGGATGTTTATTATAAAGGGAAAAATAGTAACATCCTAGCAGAGAACTTGTCAAAGACGACATTAATCAAGAAATCAGTGTTACGTTCACCGTTAACAAGTCATGTATCCATATAACTAGCTCCTGAATCGAAGCACCAAAGGAGTCATGTCACTTTTGTGGTATTCTTGTGAAAAATATGTACACCCTCAGTGTAATCATGAGAACGCATTGACAAGACCTGATCAAGGGTTGACCTACGCTATACCTGACCAGTGCCCTTCGGAGATAGCACGGTCACGAACAGGGAAAGACTGAGGAACTGGTCAGATCGGAGAAGGTAAAAAGACTTGATAGCTAAAAGCAGTCCGGGATCCTGGCAGAGAGCTTCTCTACTGATGGATTAATAGAAATTCTGGCAAAATCAAGATTTGCTGTTTGATTTTTAAAAACTATTAAAATTTTTAGAATAGAAATTGTATAGGTCAATTTGTACAGATAGAAAAAGTGTGGAATGAGCAGTAGAATGGAAGAGTGAAGAACAGATGTCATGTGTTTGCACCTTTCGTCTATCACATGGTTGCTGTGACAGAGCAAATGGGTGAGGGCCTGGTCTTTTGTTGGTTTACTCAGCATTTACTCTTCTAACTTTAGTAATAATTACAGCTTAATTTCCTAGTTTATTACTAACAGGATAATTTAAGTTACTAATACAGTGTTAACCAACTTACATTCATATTCACCCTTACTGTAAACAAATAGCTGAAGAGTTATTTACTTATCTGTTACTTACTATTGATAATGGAATATGATTCAGCAGTGCAGTGTTGTAATGTTTATTATTATAATGGTAAATACACATTATTTTTAAAAGCTTTTTTTTAAAAAAGATGTATTTATTTATTTGAAAGTCAGAGAAAGAGGGAGAGACAGAGAGAACTTCCATCTGTTGGTTCACTTCCCAGATGGCTGCAATGACTGGGGCCGGGCCAGACTGAAGCCAGGAGCCAGAAGCTTCTTCTAGGTCTTCTAGGGCCAAAATACTTGGGTCATCTTTCACTGCTTTTCCCAGGCTATTTCCCAGAGCTGAAACAGAAGTGGGGCAGCCGGGACTCAAACTGATTATTAATGTTAGCTGATGATGATAATGTAAAAGGTGATAGTGTGATGTCAGGTAACTTACTTTTTTATCATGGCCTTCATCATGGACACTGTATCTTTTTATTCTTCAGATATGTCACATTTTCCGTATGGTTTCCTTGTCATATAACCTATAATTTTATGAAATATTTTTGTCACTTTACAAATCATTTATTTTCATTTTTATTTTGAAAGTAGAGAGACAGATGTCTTCCATTTGCTGGTTCATTACCCAAATGCCTACAACAGCTAGGGCTGGGCTAGGCTGAAGTCAGGAGCCAGCAATTCAGTCTGGGTCCCCATGTGGGTTACAAAGGACCTAAGCACTTGAGCCATCATCTGCTTTCTCCCAGGGTACACATTAGCAAAAAGCTGGATTGGAACTGGAGTAGTCAGGACTAGAACTAGGCACTTTGGTGTGGGATGTAGGTGTCCCAAGTGGTGACTTAACTGCTGTGCCACAAGCCTTCTTTCAAGTTGTTTTTGCAGCACATATATACTGGAGAATAGAAACACTTTTGTCAGAACAACAGAACGAATGATAGCATCCTCTGTCTACGGATGGATTGAAACATCATTGCTGTTATTTTCTTGTTATGAGTTATTAGAGGAAGAATATCAGGACAGTGGGGTTCAAAGTCTCAGCTAAATAATCAGGATAACCAGAGGACTGTGGCATATAGATAGTTAAAATATTCTATTCAAGGACAATATTTGTTTAGTTTTGAAATGCCTGATGAGTGGAAAAATTAGAGGACATTCCCATTTTGTTCAAGGTGTATTCCATTCCTTTTGGTTTCGTCTGTTTAAAAATGTACAAAACCTAATTGTAATAATGCTTCTCAACACTTAATATGTACTTATTCTGTACTGTTGAAACTCTTTACAAAGGTAAACTTATTTAATCATCACATTAGCAACCCAGTGAGGCAGGTAATAGTGGTACTTGGTAGAAAAACCAAACAACAGGGGTGTTAAATAAATTTCTCAATTTCAGACTAAGAAGAATTGAGATTCAGAGATGCATAGCTAGTCCTGTCTCATCAAATTGCAGTTCCTTACAACGTATTTGTCTGTCTGTTCAGGGGCAGTATTTCTCTGAAAGGCGAAGTGTTTTTGAGGGCTTCCCTCTTGCCAGTATTCCTAACCTAGATTGTTCAAGCCATAAGAACTGTATAGCTATTACAGAAAATCACTTTAACAAAAGTGTTCCATTAATCAAGGTGATTTATAACAAAAATCCATCCAAGTTTGGAGTACCCTGAAAAGATACCCATAGCATTTGGAGGTTCTACCCCTCTAGAGGGTTCCCTTTTTCAGCTATCTCAGAAGCACACTGGTGCTATTTGTTATGAAATGGGTTTGTTCTTCTTACCTATTTATCCCCTTAGGAAAGTTATTATTGCTTATATGATGAAGGCCTTCCTTTATTATTCAGATCATGATTGACTCACATAGTTAAGATGATAAGTATTAAATGTGTTTTGAATTGCAGACCCAAAAAATAATTTATTATTCTTATATGTAGGGTGCATTGGAAAGCAACATATCAAAACTGTAGTTGGTACACAGTCTATAGAGTTTAGCATATGAAAGAAATAGCATTGTTTTTAAGTTGGCAAGAAAGAGTATATAAACAGATCATTGGTTAAATGATGTGGAATCATTTTATTCATTCCAGAATTTGAAAAGTCCTTATGGCGAACAACACTTACACACCAGATTTATTTTTTTCCAGTAAGTATTTGGAAACTAAGTAGTTCCTGTCAAGGTGCTAATGTATTAAGTTTTGCTTATTTTGGTGTTACTGAAGCTAATAATTCTTCCCTTAGTTATGAGCTGAATATTGGTTATTAGCTTAATTTGTGACTCTTAAACATGCAGTAATCAGCGTAAACATCTTAGACTCTTTGTGCATATACTACAGGAATTCTTCACTTTGTTGCTAGAAGCTACTATTTTAACAAAAAATAATTCAGTTGGAAGTAGAAGCATTTAGCAAGTGAGAAATAAAGTAAATTAGCATTCTCCTGTTGGTTTGCACAGTAAGGCAAGATGCAAAATAAAAGTCTTTAATTTGATCTCCATTTTTTTAAGGATTATAGAGCTAGGAATTAGTTTACTAAAGTTTTGTTGGAAAGCTAATGAAGAGAAGAAGAAAAACACTTTTTAATATTTGTAATGATACTACTGTGTGATAGTCCAAGGGTATAATTTTAGTCCTCAGTGTAACTATGCTAATAGTTAAGCATTTTTAAATACCGTAAATTTCTATCAGCAAACATGCTGTAAAATCTGCCATGTAAACACTCCCTTGACGCTGCATTACGCTATAGGAAGGAATTAAGTATACTTGTTACCTCCACTCTGAGCTCCATGTTGTCTTGAACTATTTTCACCTAGGCTTTGGTCCCTACCACCTCACTGAAGCAGTTCTTGTCAAAATCCCCAGGAACTTATCTGTTGTCTCTCCAGTGGTCAACTCTTTGTCCTTATCTTACTGAAACCCAATTTCACTTAGTTTTGTGGACACTAAGATTTCTTCCTTTCTATTTTTTCTGAATCTCCTTTGTTGCTTTTACTCCTCATTATCCAAATATTTGAGCCACTCAGTGTTTGTATTTTACTCTCTCTCTCTCTCGTTTTTGTTGTTGTTGTTGTTTTTAAGATTTACCTATCTATCTGTCTATCTGAAAGGCAGAGTGACAGAGATGGAGAGGCAGAAAGAGATCTGCCATCCACTGGTTCATGCCCCAAATGGCCAAAACAGCCAAGGCTGGGCCAGGCCAAAGCCAGAAGCAAGGAACTCCATCCAGGTCTCCCATGTGATTAGCAGGGATCCAAGCATTTGGGCCTGCTGCTTCCCAGTGCATTAGCAGGAAGCGGCAGTGGAAGTAGAGCAGCTAGGACTTTAGCCAGCACTCCAGTATGGGATGCTGCTGTCAAAACCAGTGGTTTAACCTGCTGCACCAAAATGCCAGCCCCTAAGGATTGGTATTTTAAGCAGCTCTTGTTTGTATGTACTTACATGTTGGATGACATCCTGTCTCATAGTTTTAAGTACCATCTAACTTACTCCCAAATTTATAGCAAGTGCATCTTCTCCCCTGAACTCCAGAATCATATATCTAATATGTATTTAATATCTTTGCTTTAGTGGATAGCAGTCATCTCAAACTTAATATGCATATGTCCAAAACTAATGCCCCCATTCTCTTTCTCAGACTGGCTTCTTCTACAAACTTCTTAGTTCCATTCTTCTGCTGGTTCAGGCCATAAACCTCAGAGTTTTCTTTGACTCTCGTCCTTTTTCACCCTACATGGAATCCATTAGCAAATCATGATGCTTATAATTTTTAACTGTATCAGAATCAGAATCAGACCATGTCTTGCCACTGTCACTGATATCATCTGGTGCATCCAGCACTGCAGGGTGTCAGGTTAACCCGAAAGAGGAATGGCGTCGTGTAGTTAAGGAAGCAGACTCAGATGAAAGATTTTAATATGGAGAAACCAGGAGACACTCTGTCCACTGCCAAAGGAGACAGAAGCAGAGGCCCAGATGTCTGGTTACTCCAAGTATTTATTATCAATAGTGATGTGATCGATTAATCATAAAAAATGTGCAGTTTCGTGAAAACAGTATTTCATGAGGAAGGAGTTTAAACATAGTGAAACAGGGAACAATAGCGAGTTTGGGTGTTACAAGAAGGACTTGTTTGCTTGGAATCTGGGAGAAGAGGACAATCACAACGTGGAGGGGTCTTGAGGGGGGCTCATTATTAACTGGGGCAAACGTGCCACTTGCTGTTTACTGGTCCCTCAGCATTTCCTTAGCTGCCTCAGCATCATGTGAAACGACCTTTGCCATTGACATAACTCCACCGATCACCTTTGCAATCTGACCGAGCATGTCTTCAGCAGAATTCAGGCTGTGGGGTGGTCTCAAAAATTTAGGCCTCTAACAGAATTCAGGCCATGTGGTGGTCCCTGATAATCATCCTGACTCAAGACGAACTCATCTTTCTTATTTTGTGGCAATAATTACTGAAATTCTCTTTGTGCATACTCTCCCCAGTTTTTTGCTTCCCTATCCTTTCCGCTGATACTCTCCATACAGTAACTGACGTGATCCTCTGTGATGATGCTGTTAAAGAGCAAGTGTATTCCTCATGCTCAAAGGCCCAATTACTCTCCGTCTCATTTGTAATGAAAGTCTAGACCTTAAGTGGTCTACAAATCCTACAAGATCCGCTTCCTTTTTCTGCTGCCTCCTTTTTCTTTTTCTTTTTGTTTTTGTATTTAAAGTTTTATTTAAAGACCAGCATGTTCATTCACTTGCATTTTGTTTGTGTCTGCTTTCACTAAAATGGCAGAGTTGAATAGTTGTGACAGAAATTATATGACCTGCAAAGTCTAGACTAATTGACTATCTGGTCCTTTACTGGGAGCATTTGCTGAACCCTGCTCTACAATAAAAGTTTCCTTTTAAAAAATATTTACTTATTTATTTGAAAGGCAGAGTTACATAGAGAGGGAAGGAGAGACAAAGAGAGACAGAGTTAGAGAGACAGAGAGATGTTCCATCTGCTGGTTCACTCCCCAAATGGCTGCAATGGCTGCAATGGCTGCAATGGCTGGAGCTGGGCAGGTCCAAAGCCAAGAGACAGGAGCTTCTTCTGGGTCTTCCATGTGCATGGAATGGGCCCAAGGATTTGGACAATCTTCTGCTGCTTTCCCAGCCAAATTAGTGAAGTGCTGGATTGGAAATGCAGCAGCCAGGACTTGCACTGGTGCCCATATGGGATGCTCGCTTTGCAGGTGGCCTTTACCTATTATGCCACAATGCCGGCCCCAATAAAAGGTTCTTGATGGCAAGGACTCCCAGAATGTAGATTGATTTGGCATCCAGTAGGTATTTTTAAAAGTACTCAAAGGGTAGACCAATATATATATGAAAGGTATGACTTTTTTTATAGTTTCTATTCTAATTCTACTTTAGTTTCTTCTACTTTCTACTGCCAACTTGCTTCTGAGTAAGGACATGATATTACAAATTTTCAGAAAGGTGACTTTTCTTGTAGTTCACCATTCTGAATGCTAGCAGTGAATTTGCCACATCTGTGGTGGCTACTTCTAATGGAAAGGCTATCTGACCACCTTACGTAATGACAGGTGAAGGTGAAATTAGAAAATAGTGGACTGTCCCTGTTAGTTACTGTGTACTAGGAGAGCAGGGTGCTGCTTGTTTCTTTTTCTAAGTGGCTCCTATTTGGGCTGCATGATATTTTTCAGTGTAGAATAAAAATCTTCCTGACTTTGAATTGACTTATTACTTTAAAGTACTGAATTTTGTCTAAAATAATTCTCCTAAAGGAGTGGTTGATTTGAGATACACTGGACTTTGCCCTGGTCTCATTTCGAGGGAAGGTTTGATGCCTCGGAAATGCCATGGTAGTTTTGTAATGATGAAGGTTAGATTGCTATTAAAACATTCAGTACCTGCTCACTAGGTTGTTTGGTAATGAGAGTTCTCTACATTTCAGTAGAAATATATGTGTCTTCTGGACTTCTTTAAATACTATTCTGGTGCTTTGTTCTTTTGATCCTTTTATTGGTTGACAGATTAATGATGGTTAAGTTATCTGTGGTTTGTAAACTTTTCCCTTAAGTATAAACTTCTGCTTTCCATTGGTTGTTCATTATAAAATGAAGAATAATTTTTAAAATTTTTCCAAACAATTAAAACTTTACTGAGTTTTAGTTTCTGAACCAAAGCACATCCTTGTATTGAAAATTGACTTATTAATAGGATTTAATTATGGGAATTTATTATATTACTGTGGTTAGAGCACAGCAGTTTTTACATTGTTGATGGAAATGTCTACTTATTAGAAAAATTATTTTTTAACTTTAAATCTACCAAAATATCAGTCTATTTAAATATTTTTGGTTGTCCTTGAAACTATAGATGTCAGTGTTAGACACAGAAGGAGAAATGTTTTTACCAAATGAGGTCTGTTACTACAAAAGGGTGATGTTAGATGAATAAGAAATGTGGAATTTTTTATATTTTTCTTTGTGAATTACAGGGTATATTAATAACAACATTATCATTATTGGCAGGAATGTAAGAAATAGGGTCAATTTTTCATTTTAGAGAGAACTAATTTAATGCATTCAGTATACAATGGTGGTATAGTGTTTTTAAAAGAAGAACTTAGAAGTGCAACAATATGGCAATAATAAAGTTGGCTTACAATATATTATAAAATATTTAAGTAAAACTGGTTGGCAATCTGAAAAACAATCTCACTAATTAGACAGCATTAGAAAATGGTCACATTATATTGTTAACACTTACAGTCATTTAATGTGTACTTTGTATTTAGGATATAGTTCAAATCCCTGAATATCCTAATGCTGTTTTTCTGTTTGTTTAAATGTCATTTACCTTAGCTAAATGTCACAACCATCTGGTCTTCTATTACCACTTGTATTATAAACAGAAAAAGTACTTCTGTGTAGGGAGAGGAATCATCAGATTGAAAGGGCTTGTTTATTATAAGCTGCTGATACACTAAATCCGTATGTCATTTAAATAGAAGAACTACCTAATAATGTCACTTATTACAACTAGGATATCTAAACAAGGGACTCGCTTTTTGCAGACTATGGTGATAAAAACCTGTGCTACACATTCATTTCTCAGCAACGGTTCCCAGGATAATCAGTCA